TCACTCAGTCACTCGGTGTGTCAGTTACTCATTCAGTTACTCGGTGTGTTAGTCACTCACTCAGTCACTCGGTGTGTTATTCACTCAGTCACTCGGTGTGTTAGTCACTCACTCAGTCACTCGGTGTGTTATTCACTCAGTCACTCAGTGTGTTAGTCACTCACTCAGTCACTCGGTGTGTTAGTCACTCAGTCACTCGGTGTGTTAGTCACTCAGTCACTCGGTGTGTTAGTCACTCATTCAGTCACTCGGTGTGTTAGTCACTCAGTCACTCGGTGTGTTAGTCACTCAGTCACTCAAAGTGATGATGGTGATGATGATGCTGATGGTGATTAATTAAAGTTTGTAAAGTCCCTTCACTAAATCTCGGTCTGGTGATGATCACACAGAGCTCACTCATTCAGTCACTCACTCAGTCACTCACTCAGTCACTCACTCACCCACTCACTCACTCAGTCACTCACTCAGTCACTCACTCAGCCACTCACTCAGTCACTCACTCAGTCACTCAGTCACTCACTCAGTCACTCACTCAGTCAGCCACTCAGTCACTCACTCAGTCACTCACTCAGTCTGCCAATCACTCAGTCACTCACTCAGTCACTCAGTCAGTCACTCAGTCAGTCACTCAGTCACTCACTCAGCCACTCACTCAGCCACTCACTCAGTCACTCACTCAGTCACTCAGTCACTCACTCAGCCACTCACTCAGTCACTCACTCAGTCACTCAGTCACGCAGTCACTCAGTCACTCACTCAGTCACTCAGTCACTCACTCAGTCAGCCACTCAGTCACTCACTCAGTCTGCCAATCACTCAGTCACTCACTCAGTCACTCAGTCAGTCACTCAGTCAGTCACTCAGTCACTCACTCAGCCACTCACTCAGCCACTCACTCAGTCACTCACTCAGTCACTCACTCAGTCACTCACTCACCCACTCACTCACCCACTCACTCAGTCACTCACTCAGTCACTCACCCACTCAGCCACTCACTCAGTCACTCAGTCAGTCACTCAGTGACTCACTCAGTCTGCCAATCACTCAGTCACTCACTCAGTCACTCACACACTCACTCACCCACACACTCACCCACCCACTCACCCACCCACTCACCCACCCACTCACTCACCCATCCACCCACTCACTCGGTGTGTTAGTCACTCACTCAGTCACTCGGTGTGTTATTCACTCAGTCACTCAGTGTGTTAGTCACTCACTCAGTCACTCGGTGTGTTAGTCACTCAGTCACTCGGTGTGTTAGTCACTCAGTCACTCGGTGTGTTAGTCACTCATTCAGTCACTCGTTGTGTTAGTCACTCAGTCACTCGGTGTGTTAGTCACTCAGTCACTCAAAGTGATGATGGTGATGATGATGCTGATGGTGATTAATTAAAGTTTGTAAAGTCCCTTCACTAAATCTCGGTCTGGTGATGATCACACAGAGCTCACTCATTCAGTCACTCACTCAGTCACTCACTCAGTCACTCACTCACCCACTCACTCACCCACTCACTCAGTCACTCACTCAGTCACTCACTCAGTCAGTCACTCACTCAGTCATTCAGTCACTCACTCAGTCACTCACTCAGCCACTCACTCAGTCACTCACTCAGTCACTCAGTCACTCACTCAGTCACGCAGTCACTCAGTCACTCACTCAGTCACTCACTCAGTCACTCACTCACTCAGTCACTCACTCAGTCACTCACTCAGTCTGCCAATCACTCAGTCACTCACTCAGTCACTCAGTCAGTCACTCAGTCACTCACTCAGTCACTCACTCAGCCACTCACTCAGCCACTCACTCACTCAGTCACTCACTCAGTCACTCACTCACCCACTCACTCACCCACTCACTCAGTCACTCACTCAGTCACTCACCCACTCAGCCACTCACTCAGTCACTCAGTCAGTCACTCAGTCACTCAGTGACTCACTCAGTCTGCCAATCACTCAGTCACTCACTCAGTCACTCACACACTCACTCACCCACACACTCACCCACCCACTCACCCACCCACTCACCCACACACTCACACACTCACTCACCCACCCACTCACCCACCCACTCACCCACCCAATCACACACTCACTCACCCACACACTCACCCACCCACTCACTCACCCACCCACTCACTCAATCACCCACTCACTCACCCACTCACTCACCCACCCACTCACCCACTCACTCACCCATCCACTCACTCACCCACTCACTCACCCACTCACCCACCCACTCACTCACCCACTCACTCACCCATCCACTCACCCACTCACCCACTCACTCACCCACTCACTCGCACAGACAAAACTATACATGGACCACAGACTCAGTCTGTGCATGCTCAATATTTTCAATGCTGATTTAAAGCTTTCTTGACTGCAGGGATTCATATTCTTGGGTCTTTCGGTAAAGTCACGTCGTTTTATAAATATTTTATTACTTTATTGTTTCCCTTCAACGCGACTTTACCGAAAGAACCAAGAATATATTTTC